AAGGAGGAGGAAGGAGGAGGAAGGAGGAGGAAGGAGGAGGAGGAGGACGCCAACTACCAACCAGCACCAGTCCTGGCCAGACCGATCCTTGCCTTGGGCCCGCTGGATATGTCCTCCAGGCGTGACCTGGAAGGCATACAGTGGAGGTCCGTGCCAAGAAACACCCTGCTTGCCTCCAGGGTGCCCTGGGCTTCTTGGGTTTCAATGGTTTTGCTATGGAACGCGTGACGTTCCCACGCCAAATAATCAATGGGCGTCCTGGGGTTGCAGGGTTGGGTTTCTTGTGGACGGTTTCTTGTGGTCGGGCCTCCGCTGCACGCACAAGCGCTGGCCTCGCCAGGATCGGAGTAGGGGGATAGCCGCCGGCTCCCCCGAAACGAGAAGGGCTATAGTCCACCAGGAGCAGCGATAAGGGGGGACGCATCGACCACCATCGCCCAGTGATCGCCGATAGGGGCCCGATAGCCACAGCCAGCCTGGGAACGTGCGGCATTACGATCGGGGGCCTATCGCCGATCTATCGGCGACGTATCGCCGATTCCAGGTCGATGTGCCCCCCCCCATGCCAGTCCCCCCCTTATCGTTGCCTCTCAGTCAAAGAAGAAAAAACACATACATTTATTTACATTAGTTTTCGAGCCGTTGTATCGGATCTGCGCTGGGTCCCCCTGGCGGCGCCTCAGGCGCCGCCTCTGGCGCGCGGAGGGCGCCAGGGAAAAGGGTCCAGCGCCGATCCAAGAAATGTGCTCGGACCTCCGAAAGTTGAGGCCTCTTGAGGGCCGCTTGGGGCCTCCTGGGGACCTCTCGGGGCGGAGGACTCGAAGTATCCGTTCGGGTCCCCGTCTGGACCCCTCTTGGAGTCGTCTTGGGGGCCTCTTGGGCTTTCTTAGAGGCCTTTTGGGCCGTCGTGGAGCCCTCTGGGGCGGTCTTGGGGCCCCCGATCTTGAGGGCCTCTGAAGCCGTCTTGGAGCATCGGGAAGCCGAAAGAGCGATAACGCCAAAATCCTCAAACCATTTTAAGAGAATCGATGAGTTGTTCCTTTGGGGGTCCTCTTGGGAGGCCTCCTGGGAGGCCTCTTGCGGCGCCTTGGGGGCATCTAGGGCCGTCTTGAGACCGCCTTGGGCGTCTTGGAGCGATCTTTTGGAGACTCGGAGCCCTCTTGCACCATCTCAGGGAGCTCTCGGGGCCCTCCTGGCCCGTCTTGGGGCCTCCCTTGGACCCGAGAGAGTCAGGCGACAAGACTCGACGCGCCCCAGGGGCCACGCGGCGCGCTCCAAGGGATTTGGTACTTTCGGGTCTGGGCTCCTGCAAAAGAGTCCTCAGGACTGAGAGCTGGGGCGCCAGGGCCCCAGGCGATCCCACCAGGGACCCGAGGACATTCCAACTCGTGCCTTAACGGCACGGTGGCGGGTACGCAGCCTTCCACTGGAATCTGCTCTCCCAAGCCAATCAGGAGGGGCTCTGGCTTTTGGGCCGTTCTCTAGATCTCTAGATGTAGGTTGGGGATCCTACTCGCGGCCAAAGATCACCGTTGCCAGAGAAGCCCTTCGTTCCCTATAGCACGGTGACTGCAGCCTTTCAGTGAAGATGCATCCCCAGCCTCCAGGAGGGAAAGTTCGACGCGCAGGCCCTCTGGCAGTTCACCATGGACCGGTTCCGCGGCCAGGAAGGGGAACAGCCGCTGCTGGCGAAGGACAAGATCCTGGAGCCTGTCCTGAGGTCGTTCTTCAAGGAGCCCATCTGTGTGGCATGAGGTTGCGGGGCCCAGACATCCTGGCGTGGCAAGAATCGACGAAGTAAAAACGCCATAAACATAAACTTTTGGCGCTCCGCGCGGATCTCTTGGATCCGCGCTGGGGCCCCCCAGCGGCGCCGCCCTTGGTTCCGCGCGCCAGGGATGGGGGTCCAGCGCAGATCCAAGAAATCCACGCGCAGCGCCAAAATCTTCCGTTCATGGCGTTAGTTTCTTTGTCTAAGCACGACGGGAGTGCTTCCCCCGCTCTCGGGTCTCCCGGGGCCCTCGCCGGGCCCCGAGAGACCGTCAGAAGGAGCGACTCAGGACGAAGGGCCCATGCCGAGGAAGGGGTGTGCAGACCTCCGGGAAGCCACGCTGCGAGACAATCACGACGAGGTGTGATCGGTTTCTGATTCACTGTTTTGCCGATCGGCGCGGGCCCTCGCCCCCCCCTCCATGGAGTAGATCTTGGCTGTTTTTGGCGCCTGTTTCGAGCAGGTGGAGTCCCTCCCATAGGACGCACTGTTGTAAGCAGTCGCGCTAAGCAAAGGTCTGGAGGTGATCGTTTTCTCAGTCATTGTTTTACCCATCGGGGCGGGCCCTCGCAACCCCCCCTCCCCCCATGGAGTAGATCTTGGCTGTTTTTGGCGGCACCAGTTTCGAGCAGGTGGAATCCCTCCCCCACAGGACGCACTGGTGCAAACAGTCGCACTAAGCAGAGGTCCAGAGCCAGACCCCCCCTCACCCCCTCCTTCCGCCCAGTGTCGAAACGCGCAGTAAGAAAACGCTCACCACATGTCTGAGGTTGCTGGGCACTAGCCTGGCGGTGGCGGGAAGTTGTGCCGCGGTGCTGTTCCGCTGGCTCCCCGTGTCACGGCTCAGCGCCGCGCAGGAATGGCCCCTCGTTAGGGTGCCTCTTGGCCTGCGGGCCCACGGCCCGCCCCCCCCCATTGACTTGCGCGCCCAGACCTCCTCCCCTCGCCCTCCTCCTCCTCCTCCCCCTCCTCCTGCTCCTCGTCTTTCCTCCTCCTCCACCTCCTCCTCCTCCTGCTCCTCCTCCTCCTCCTCCTCCTCCTCCTTGGCTCCCTCGCGGGGCGTCTGGGCCAGGAGCAGGTCAGTCTTGCCCCGGGTCGCTCTCGCGTGTGCAGTCAGGGTGCCGAAGTGCAGTCGGACCGAGGTACCGTGAGGTCGAGGTCGGTTCGGATGTGTTCGTCGTGCTTGCTGGATGTTCCCGTGCACCCAGTGGAGGGTACCCTGGGAAGTTCTGTCTGTTTTGGTCGACGGAGGATCTCATGCTCCTCGAGGGATGCTCTCCTGGCCCGGGTCCGACTGCAAGGACCCCGTTCGGGCTCAGGAGCGGCTCTGGCCTGCGGGCCGCTCCCGAGGCCCAGGTACAGTCAGGTCGCACGGTAAGGATGGGCAGCCTTCCCAAGGGTACCCTTTTGCATCCTTTGCCTCCTCGGCCCATCCTCGGCCACTTTTGCTGGCCGCGCCCCGCTCGAAGAGCTTCGAAGTGGGCGCCCGAGGCCCTTGCATCCTCATCGCGCATCCTTATGATACGGGCCGGCTGTAGGGGGGAGCGTGCTTGTGGCCGAGGCTCGCCGTGGTTGTCCAGAAAGCAGCTCCCTCGTTCCCTGTGCGGCGCTCCTCGTGGCAGCACGGCGGTTGCGCGGCTGGCCCCGGGACGGAAGAACATCCTTCAAGGACGCATTCACCGATCGCGCTCCAAAGTGCCTACTCGCAAACGTCCGACAAGCATCTGCTTGCCTCGATGTAAAATATCGTAGATCTCCCGCGGCGGACCCAGGCCGTGTGCGAGCGAGCAGTTGCTTTGCGAGCAGTGGAGCGCGCTTGTCTGGACATTCGAGGGACGTTCGAGGGTGCCCTCCCCCAGGATGCACGAGAAGATCCGGCAGACGCGAAGAACCCCCGAGGGCACCCTCCCCGAACCGACCTCGATCTTCGACACCTCGGTCTGGCCGTTGCCGGTTCCCCCCCCCCTCCTCTCGGGCCGGCAGGCTCCGCGCGCGGCCGAGGCTGGGCCCCCCGAGCCAGGCCCCCCCCCCCCGTGCCGTTCCTCCTCAGCTCTCCCAGGCTTCAAGCAGTGGCGAAGCGTCCTGGCTCGCCTACAGCCCTGCCAGACAGTGTTCTGAGAACCTTTCTGTGGTTCCCACGAGATGTTCGTAGAAGATTTCTGGCGGAGGCTGTCTTGTTGTATCACATCGGGTTGATGTTCTAAGAACACTGTTGTGCCCATCGCACTTGAGGACCAGATTCCAGACATCATCCCGAGCACCCAGAAAGGTTCGGAGGTGGACAGACCTCCTACCCTGACACGTCGATTAGCGAATCGGCCGTTCTCGGTTCGCGAGAGGGCGTCGCGGCCGTCATTTTTGCGGGTCCAGGTCCGTCGGTTTCGGTCCCAGGCCGTTTTCACTAAGGGGAGGTTTACTACAGGTAGATTTGTCCACCGTCGATTCTGTTGTGCCCATCGCACTTGAGGACCAGATTCCAGACATACTTCCGAGCACCCAGAAAGGTATCGACCCAGTGTCTGCCCGGCACGCTGGCGAAGCGTCGAACGAGTATTCGCCTCCTGGCGCCCGAGACATGCGAAAGACCTGCAATTTCGATGGTGTTCTTATCTTTTTCTGGTGCTCGGAATTCTTTCTGGCGATCAAGGCTAAAGTCGAAGAACAAAAAACTCCATAAGCATACACTTTTGGCGCTCCGCGCGGATTTCTTGGATCCGCCCGGCGCCCCCCTGGCGGCGTTGGGCGACCTTCCCAAGGGTACCCTTGCACACTTGCCTCCTCCGTCCATCCTTGACCGCTTTCACTGGCCGCGCCCCGCTCGCAAAGTGTCGACATGGCCTCCCGAGGCCCCTTGCATCCTTACCGCGCATCCTTGTGATACGGGCTGGCTGGAATCATCGTCGCATCCCAGACACATCTGGGAAGATATGGGAAGTGGGGGGAGGACGATCACCCCGAAACGATAGGAACATGTAGGCGAATCCTGGGATCTGTGCCTGTGTGTGTGTGTTTGTGTGTGTGCGTGTGCGTGTGCGTGTGCGTGTGCGTGTGCGTGTGCGTGCGCGTGCGGGTGCGGGTGCGGGTGCGGGTGCGGGTGCGTGTGCGGGTGCGTGTGCGTGTGCGTGTGCGTGTGCGTGTGCGTGTGTGTCCCTAGGCAACTTCCTAGTCTCCGTATTTCCCCACGCCGACGTCACCGATGCATCGCCGACGTCGCCGATGCAGCGCCGATGCATCGGCGAAGCGTTGGCGATGCAGTGGCGATGCCGCGCGATCCTTCGGCCCCATCTACTCGGACCCCATCTAGGAGGCCTCTAGAAGCATCGAGGAGGAGCGGAGGTGGAAGCGAGCTACTCGATGCTCGTTTGGGGGACCCTTCTGGGGCCCACCTCATGGATCTGTTCGGCTCAAGTGCGACGCAGGGTCGACTCGGGTCGGCGGACGTTCGACACAGCTTCGACGCGCGAGAGGAGCGAGTGGCTCCAAGAAGGTCCCCAGAATGAGCAGCTAAGAGCTGGGGGAGGAAGGGAAGGAGGCAGGGAGGAAGGCACACTGATGCTGGAAGCGTCTGAGGCCGTCTTGAGACACGATCCCCTTAAATGTGGTGAGCCAGGGGACGCAGATGCATCGACGACGGCCTCGCGTGAGACATCCTCACCGGCGCCGTCGCGTGAGACATCCTCACAAAACGGGCCCCGGGGGGGATGCCCAGAGGAGCCCAGAGCGGCCTCCGGCACCGTTTCCGGACGGATCCGCTGGATCCGCTGGATCCGCTGGATCCGGTGACGAATCCCAAACCGGCGCCCTCGCCTGAGACATCCTCACAAAACGGGCCCCGGGGGGGATGCCCAGAGGAGCCCAGAGCGGCCTCCGGCACCGTTTCCGGACGGATCCGCTGGATCCGCTGGATCCGCTGGATCCGGTGACGAATCCCAAACCGGCGCCCTCGCCTGAGACATCCTCACAAAACGGGCCCCGGGGGGGATGCCCAGAGGAGCCCAGAGCGGCCTCCGGCACCGTTTCCGGACGGATCCGCTGGATCCGCTGGATCCGCTGGATCCGGTGACGAATCCCAAACCGGCGCCCTCGCCTGAGACATCCTCACAAAACGGGCCCCGGGGGGGATGCCCAGAGGAGCCCAGAGCGGCCTCCGGCACCGTTTCTGGACGGACGACCTGACTGCATAACACGCCTGGATATGCCGACGGGGGCGAAGGAGGAGGAGGAGGAGGAGGAGGAGGAGGAGGAGGAGGAGGAGGAGGAGGGGGCAGGCGAGGGAGCCCCGGCCCTGGGGGAGGGGCCCTGAGGGAGCCCTGATGGGCTTCCGGCACCATGGAGAGGTCCTGTGGGGCGGCCGCCCCTTCTTCTCTCGGTCGTTTCCCTCTCGCCCAGAAGCGCGCGCCCCTTCTTCTATATCTACAGAAACTCCCGATCAACCGCAGAGCGGCGGATGTTAAGGAGGGTCGATACACGCACTGTCCGTTACCTTGTTGCTCCGCCATGAGGGTGCAAACCCGATTTGCTTGACTAATGCTCTGGGGTGGGGCATGTGCTCAGGGCAGGCTGCAGCACCGCTCAACGATGTGCTGTCAACCAAGCCTGCGGGTGGGCCCTCTCAATTTCTCTGTGCACTTCAGCTTTGGCTTCGGCTTCAGATGCCGATGTGCCTTTCGGGCCAGCTCACCCGAGTCAGATATTCCGCTCGCACGGGTGCTCCCCTCCCCCTGTGTTGTTGCTTCGCCACGCATGCCTCTACCCGCACGCGCACGTTCCAGGCTGCTCGGAAGCGAGACGCATAAGGGAGCAGGGCGGCTCCGCACAGCTTCGTTTCCCAGCTCTGCCAGCGTTCCTGGCCTGCATAAAAGGCCCAACAGAAAAGATCTTAAGAACATTTGAAGATTTGCAAGAAATGTGTTTGGCACACTTCTGGCTGAGACTGACTTGTTTCAACATATACGGGGTCGATGTTCTAAAAGCGTATGTTTTTTGTTATTCGCATTCTGGGGTTCTAAGGACCATGTCGTGGCAGGCCTGTAGGGATGCCGGGACACTCGGTCCCTGCTCGAGTGAGGGAGGAGAGCGGGCCCGCAGAGCTTCGTCTCCCAGCTCTGCTTGCGTTCTTTGGAGCGGAAGCGGGGGGCGCACCGGCTCTCCGCCGACCTTGCTCCTCCAGCCCGTACGCCGAGTGTCGCGTCGGCCTGCCTGCCAGGGGTGGACCTGAGCGGCGTTTGGGCGACTTCGTGGGCCGTTTTCGTTCCGATCTCAAACTGCAGCAAAGGTGGATGGAGGACAAGACGAGGGGACGCGAGAACAAAGCGGGAAGGACAAGCACTGCTTGGGTCGAGCCCTGCTGCCTGCCTCGGCAGGGTCTCGTTGTGGCCTCCCCTCCCAGGGGGTCTGGCGCCGCTGCTCCGCTGCCCGTGGTCGTGCCTCCCTCCGCCCTCGCGTGTGGCTCCCTCTCCTCCTCCTCCTCCTGCTCCTGCTCCTCCTCCTCCTCCTCCTCCTCCTCCTCCTCCTCCTCGTCCTCCTCCTCCTCCTCCTTGCCGCATCCCGCCCCCTCTCCCTCCGGGAGCCCCCAAACCAGGCGGGCTACGCAAGAAATTGGGTCGTCTGCGCCAGCATTGGCGCGTGAGTTGCCCGCGTAAGGTCGCGCGTAAGTGTTCTCGTCTCCAGTGTGGCGTGCCGCGCCGGCGGCCCGCGCAAGCCGCCGCGTAAGGTCGCCGTGTCCTCTCGCGTAAGACTCGTTTTTGATCGTCGCTCAGGTGGTGAGACATCAGGTTGTGACCTGAAATCCCCCAAAAGTCGCTGCCAGGTTTTGGAGCACGGGGTCGCCGCCGGGTTTTCTTGACTCCTGGGCCCACCGGCGCTCGGGACCTCCTCGAGACACCGCGCGAGGACCCAAGCCGCGTGGGTGGCACCAAGTCGCCCGAGGCTCACCGCCAGGTGTTGTCACCACTGGGGAGACTACCGATCCCTCCCCGTCCTTCCGATCCGCTCCCTCGCCTGCCCGCTCTCTTCCCTTTCGCCTCTCCCGCCGCGCGCCGTGGGCAAACAACGAACTGCGACGGCGGGCCTGGGGCACTTTTGCTCGGCCTCCAGGGGGGGCGCTGCTCGGCCCCAGGACGGTCGAGCCGATTTTACGGAATGAGAAGCACGTGCCCAGGACGGGGGGGCCGGACGAGGAGGAGGAGGAGGAGGAGAAGGAGGAGGAGGACGAGGACGAGGAGGAGGAGGAGGAGGAGGAGGGTAGCCAAGCTGTGAAAGAGTCACTACGTCGGATGTCTTTCGGTGCCCCCAGCTCAACGAGGGACCCCTGTCAGGAGTACGACCGCTACGCGCCCTACGGCACCATCGACATGCGCGAGCTGTTTCTCCTGATCAGGGATCTGGGCTTCGACGTGTCGAAATCCGCCGACGAGGTAAAGAAGTTCGACAGGACTGAGGGGCAAATCGAAGAGCAAACGAACTGCCTGTACATAAGCTCTCAGAGGTCCCCGCGGATTTCTTGGATCGGCGGCGGGCCCCCTGGCGGCAGCTCCGGCGCCGCCCCTGGAGCGCTCCGCGCGCCAGGGAGGGTGGTCCAGCGCCGATCCCAAAAAATTGCGCAGACCTCCGAGAACAGGTTGACGCTTCGCGTATCCCCACCAGCCCGCTGCCGTCTTCACTGCTTTTCACTTCGCTACAGGCGCGGCCCGCCCTAGCACGCTCGGCGTTCGACTCGTTTCGCGCGCCCGCTTACCAAAAAGTATCCCCACCAGTCCAGCCAGAAACGATGCCCAGGAGAGTTGAGGTGACCAGGGCCGGGGAGTGGGGGAGCATGCAGAAGAACAAAGAGCGGGGGAAGCCGTCATATACCCCAAGAGAGAGGGAAGATGGAGGAGGAATCGTCGTCGTCGGAGGAGGAAGAAGAGGAGGAGGAGGAGGAAGAGGAGGAGGACGAGAAGGAGGAGAAAGAGGGAGAATTGGGTACCTCGGGGATCCTCTTGAGGCCTCGCACGGGGTCTCTTGGGAGCCTCCTGGAGGCCTCTTCGGGCCGTCTGGGCGCCTCTTGGGGCCCTCTTGGGGCGCTCTTGGGGCCATCTTGGAGGACATCGATTAAAAAAGAGGGGAGCTCCAATTACTCTCCCCCCTCGGGAGCACCGAAAATCGCCTCCTGGACCCCTCTTGGAGCGCTCTTGGGACGCTCCGCTCTGGGGGCCGTCTTGAGGCTCTCCTTGGAGGAGATCGATCAAGAAAGGGGGGGGTACTTCATTAGCGTCGCTCCGCTACAGTGCGTAGAATCGCCTCTTGGGGCGCTCTTGGACTTGGGCATCTTCGGGGCCTCCTCGGGGGGTTCTTTTGGCCACTTGGAGCTGTCTTGGAGCTTTCTTGGGGCCGCTTAGAGCGTCTTGGGAGCCATCTTGAGGCATCTTAGGCTATCTGGAGCCATCCTGGAGATCATCTTGGGCTCTCGAGGCCTCGGATGGCCATCGGAAGCGAAAAGACGAGAAAGCAAACATCATCGATTTCCCTTTAGTGTTTGAAGGAGTTTGGCTTCTCGGGGGCCTCCTTGGAGGTCTCGGAGGCCTCTTGGAGCCGTCTTGGAACGTTCTGGGGGCATCTTTGAGCATTTTGGGAGCCATCTTGAGACATCGTGCGCTATCTTGAGCCGTCCTGGAGCTCATCTTTGACTCATGGGGCCCTCTTGGAGCCGACTTGGGCCATCTTGGACGCTCCAGCGCCTCGCCACCTCCCCCCGTCCAGGTCCGGGAGGGGGTAGGAGGGGGTACCTCCCTCTCCGAAGGGGAAGAAGGGGGATGGAATTCTCCTCCTCCTCCTCCTCCTCCTCCTCCTCCTCCTCCTCCTCCTCCTCCTCCTCCTCCTCCCTCCTCCTCTTTGCCCCTCCCTCCTCCCTCCTCCTCCTCCTCCTCCTCCGCCTCCTCCTCCTCCTCCTCCTTCCTCCCCGAAGGGGAAGAAGTGGGTTGGAAGAGGAAACGCCCTGGACCACCTACGCCCAGAGGGCTGGTGGGACTATGATTATGCAGTTGTGTTGCTGCCCTACTGCCGCTCTCATACAATTCCGCCCCTCGCTTCCACTTGTGCACTTACAGGGAGCGTTGGAGGGTCGCTCCTCCTTCCCCTCGCCGTCCGCCTCGCCCTCTCTTGAGTGGCCGTTATGGCTCAAGCCGTTCAGGGTCGAGCAGCACATCTCTCAGCGTGGCATCCGAGGGCCTGTTCAGGTATGGCACAAGGCGTACAGGCATGCGCACCTCTAGACTTACGTTGGGCATGTCTCTCTACAGGAGGAAAAATTCCAGAATCGTACTTGTTTTTGCTATGTTTGGGCATTGTTTGGCTATATTGTTTTTCCTCGAAAGTCCGCCTGTAGGAGGACATCTTCGACCTGACACAAGGCGTACAGGCATGCGCACTTCTGCACGTGGGTTAGCTGCCCTTCCGGTGCCCCTGGTCGCAGGCTCTCCGCAACCGGCAGGGATGCCCCCGCGCGAGGCCCGCAAGGATCGAAAGCGCACGCGTCCTCCTCCGCGGCCGCGCAGGCCGAGGAGCCGAACGATCAGCCCTCCCGCGCGGGGAAGGGCCCCAGCCTGGCCGGTGCGCCGCCCAGCGGGCCCAGCGGGCCGAGCTGGAGGCTGCATGAACGAACGTTTGGAGGTCCGCCTCGGGTCTCTTGGGTCGTCGGTGGAGGCTCATGCGAGGGATCCGCGCGGGCCTCCCGCAGTGGATCTGCTCATGTTCTCTGTCGGCCATGGAGCGCCCGCGCACACAGACACGTTGGCCGAGGTGGTTTGCAATGCTCAGTCACGGCCGCGCGACTGTGGAGGTATTGTGAAGTCAGGCACGTCCCTCTACTCAGCCATGCGCAGAGGGGGGTGGGGGGAGGGGGAAGGGCTTCTTAGAAGCACCCCTGCTTCTTAGAAGGCGCGGGCCTTGTCTGTAGATGTAAGGCCGGCGCCTTCCAAGAAGCAGCCTCCTTCTAAGGAGCCCTCCCCCCTCTCTCCACCCCCTTGTGCGCGCCGCCAATATACAGCAGGAATTGTCAAGAATAGTAAAAAAAAGTCTGGGAACGATTTCTCGACTAGGCTTGGACAATCTATGAGCCTGTTTCGGCTATTTTTGGTTTGTTTTCCCAGATCCGCCTGTAAGAGGACATGCCCGACCTAACGCAAAGCACAGTCACGGCCGCGCGACTGTGGAGGTATTGGTGGTGGTCGGTTGCAAAGTGCTGTTCGGCGGCGCGCTGAGGAGGCAAGCGAGGGGGGGGGACTTTGGCAGGCTCCGCTTCGAGACTCGATCGGCTTTCAGGCGCTGTCGGTCCTCGGTGGTTTTCCGGCCCCCTGGACCTCGCCGAGAGCTTCCCGGGGTGGGGGGGGTCCGGATCGTCCCGAGCGGCCGCTGGAGAGACCCGAGGTCTGACCCGAAAGCGAGGCTCCGCGGCGCGCCGAGGGGGGAGGTGAGAGGGGGCAGGCCCTCTCCGAAGGCGGCGGAGCTTCCCAGGAGCCCCCCAGCCTTCTGAGAGGCCCGGTGTGGCTTCGGCGAAGGCCTGCCCAGAACTCTTCTCGGAAGGCCAGGGGCCTCTTGAGCCTCTCTGAGGCGCCCGCCCCCTCTGCCTGGCCCCCTGGGCGCGCCGCCGACTGGGTGGTCGTCGGTCGGAGAGTGCTGTGGTCCACCTCGGCGGTGGCGGCGGGGGCCCGACCGTGGCGCCGCCCGGGCCGAGGCGAAGGCGCGAAGGCCCAGCCGTCGAGGAAGGAGGACGGGATAGAGCGAGAGAGAGAGACGTTCGGAGGTCCGCGCCCGTGGGATCGGCGTTGGGCCCCCGCTGGCGGCGCACCTGGCGCCGCCCCTGGCGCGCCCCGCGTGCCAGCAAGCGTGCAGTCGGGCATGTCCCTCTACAGGGGGAGAATATTCAGAAATAGTTGGTTTTTAAAAAAGCAGTCTAGGGACGGTGTTTCTACTTGTGTTGACTATGTTCGAATATGTGTTCGGCCATGTTTGATTTGATTGTCCAAAATCCGCCTCCAGGAGGGCATGCCCGACCTGAAGCAAGCGCCGATCCTGGAAGTCCCTGCGGACCTCCGAGACTGTTGTGCCTGTGCCGTGCTTCCTTTTCCCAGGCCGCGCTTATCATCTCGACATCGGCCAGCCTACTGTCGGTCAGCAGCAGCGGCGACGGCACCCTCGGGGCTCATGGTGGCAAGGGAACCTCAGCAGAGGCGATGCGTGCAGAGTCCATGTTCGCGGTTTCCGCGGGAGTTGTGGCCAAGGGCGCTCCAGCACAAGATAGGCATGTTCGGCGATGTCTGCGCCCAATGGCGAGGCTGCAAGTTGTGCACTGCTGTTGTGTGGTGCCCAGATCCTCAGGGAGGCTGCTGCGACAGAGGCAGCTTTGCTTGGGGTCAAGGGGGCGCCGTCATCGGCGTTTGCCACCGTCTTGGGGGCTTCGGCAATATTGTCTGGAATACTCGAAGTCCTCGAACGGCCCTTGACTTCTGTGTTCGATAGTTCTGTCTTCGCTCAGCCGCCGTGCCAGCGAGGCACTGTCTGCGTTGCGACACCGTCGAGCACCGCCTGGAAGGCCGTCACGTCTGACGCTTCCCGTCTGCATCTCAAAAGGACATATATCATTCGAATAGGGAATCGACTACAGAATTTATTTACCCCAGACTCCATTTTCCTTTCGGAATTGCGACAAATACGTGGAATGATCTATGAGCATTCTATTATGTTTTGTACAGTCGACGGGAAAATCAATTTTGGGGTAAATCAATTCCGTAGTCGATCCCCTTCTCGAATCGTGCGGCTCGTTGGAACATCTCGGGGCAGTCTTGGGCTCCCGTGGGGCGGTCTAGGGGACGCCTCTTGGCCGTCCGAGGGACCTCCCGGGCCCGTCGTGTGGGCGTCACGGGGGCTGCTTTGGGCCGCCGTCTTGCAAGCTGCACGCCTGCCCGCCGCAGCCACCGCCCGAGGAACTCAGACGACAAGCTGGACTTCCACGAGTTCTGCAGCTTCGTCGAGAGCTACATGCAGAGGCATCGGGATCGCGGCGCTGTCTCAGCCATCGCGAGGCATTAAGCAGGATTCGGGTTGCGGTGTGAACAGCGGCGGTTACATCACGAGCATTATGAATATTGTTATTGTTGTCATTATGATGATGATGATGATGCTGATGATGATGATGATGATGATGATGATGAGGATGAGGATGAGGATGAGGATGAGGATGATGGTGATGGTGATGGTGATGGTGATGGTAATGGTGATGGTGATGGTGATGGTGATGGTGATGGTGATGGTGATGGTGATGGTGATGGTGATGGTGATGATGATGACGATGACGATGACGATGACGATGATAATGATGAGGGTGATGAGGGTGATGACGGTGATGACGGTGATGATAATGATGATGAGGGTGATGGTGATGGTGATGGTGATAGTGGTGATGATGATGCTGGTGATGGTGATGGTGATGGTGGTGATGATGACGGTCATGACGAGTATGATGTTGATGATGATGCTGATGATGCTGATGATGATGAAGGTGTTGATGATGATGATGATGATGATGATTATGATGATGATGATGATCATGATGATGGTGTAGATGATGTTGCTGACGGTGATGCTGATGCTGCTGATGTTGCTGCTGATGTTGCTGCTGATGATGCTGCTGGTGATGCTGATGCTGATGCTGATGCCCGTCCTGATGCTGGTGTTGACGCTCTCTTTTGTGTGATCCCATGTCGAACGGGTGAGGATCATCATCACGCTACGCGATCAGCTCCGTCATAGGCCATGTCTCTCGCTGTGCGCGTCCGCCCACGACCGAGCCTGACGGAGTGACCCGCGCCGTCGCCCGGTGCGGCGACTCCTCTGCGGTCGCGCCCGACTCGGGTCTCCCGCCCTGGCCCGCGACGGGCGCCTCGCGGGCGCATCCGGCCGACGACGCCGAGGATGCCCTCCCACGGAGGACGCGCCGTTGCTCGGGGGACCTCGTACCCGGCACGAGCGCCCGACGCCCAGCGCCACCCTCGCGGCCTCCGTAGCCGCCTTGAGAAGGGACTCCCCCGGGTATCGGCTTGATCGCTGGCCTTGTCGTGGACGGAGGTACGCTCCGAAGGCGTAGGGGCCAAGGCAGGCATGGTTCTGCATGGCGTCGCTGCTGACGCGCAGTCCCTCGCGGCCCTGCCCCCATCGGCCTCCCCAGGCCATTGGACTCTCGTTACGTCCGCCTCCGCTTCGCCCTTTCTCGTGTCGCCGTCTTCCGAGACTCGGACGAACCGACACCGGACGGGCGAACCGAATCCGGACGAAGTGAAGCTGACGAAGCGAAGCGGGCGAATCGAAGCGGATGCAGCGGACGGAACGAATCGATTACACGTAAGAGTGACCCTTCGCCGGAGAGACCTTTGGTGCGGGCCCACTGGGGTTCCCCGATCGCCGAACGCGATGCGGTAGCAGCCTCTTGCGCGCTTGTGTTCGGTCCCCCAACGGCCCTCAAAAGCCGCGCACCAAAGGTCACTCTTGCCCAGGGTCACTCTTGCGTGCAGTCAAACGAAACTGAATCCCTCGGGCCATCGTCCCAGGCTCGCGGCCCTGGGCCAGGCCGGACGGGGCTGGGACGAGGATTCATCTGTGAGCATTCCGGAACGCTCTCAGAAGGCCGCGGCGCCCGAGACATCCTCAAGAACCGCCAGACCCCAGAGATTCTCTCTTTGTTCTCGTCCTGGCCTCGTCTTGCCAGGCCTGCAGGCGGGCGCCGCTGCCGCCCTCCGCGAGGCGGCGGCCACCTGCCGCTCGTCAGGCGCGGCGCCCCCGCAGCCGCGGGCGCGGGCTCCCCCCCGCCGCCGCCCGCGGTGGGGCGTGTGCGTTGTCCCCAAATCCAGGCCCCCGACGGCATGATTTTTTCGTAACGTCGACCCCCAGCGGTCTCGACCCCTTCCTTGGGATTGGCGTCGCGTCCCGAGGCGTTGCTTCACGGCCCCGAGGCCCGGGGAGGACCCCCCGAGGCCGAAGAGATAGCGAGACGCCCGCCGTCGTGAGTTTTGTCACAGCCCGAGGGGGTCTGGGGAAGGGGCGCACGAGGGCGAAGAGTGCCCGGGGCGGCGGGGGAAGGCCGCGCGGCATGCTGAGGGGGCGCCCGGCCCGCCGCGGGGGGGGGGGCCGCGGCCCCGCCGCCTTCGCCGGAGGGCGCCGCGGGCCTCGGCGGGGTGCATGGTCCCCCTGGGCCTCCTGGCCAGGGGGGCGGGGGCGGAGCGCCGTGTATAGGCGGACTGGCAGGTCGACCCTGCCAGATCAAGGGTAGCCTTGTTCAGCCACGCGCAGGAGGGGGGGTATTAGGGGCAGGGGGCAAGGCTTCTCGGAAGCACCCCTGCTTCTTGGAAGGCGCGTGCCCTGTCTGTGGACGTGAGGCTGGCGCCTTCTGGGAAGCGGCCTCCTTCTAAGAAGCCTTCTCCCCTCCCCCCCTACCCCCCTCTGCGCGCCGCCAAACGTCGACCCTGCCAGATTTGTTCAGTCTGGGTTGTTGAGACCTGGCGGGAGTGGGGAGTTGCTTTGCCCACTTTGGATCTGCAGCCGTGAGGCTCGAGCCACAGGGTTGTGCCGGCCTAAACCACGCTCGCGCCGAGAGGGGGCCACGTGGCGATGGGGCCTTGGGGGGTTGTGGTGCACGCCGCTGTTGTCATCCTCGGCGGGGTGCAAAAGAGTCGGGCCAACGGATGGTGGCCGTTCGGCCATGGGCTGAATGGCGCGGGTTCCGCGCCTTCGGCGGCCGAACCAGCGAGGCGGGTACCTGCACCTCCCCCAGGCCCTGCGGCGGCTCCCATTCTTAAGAAGGGCACCGGGGGAAGAAGCCGCCAGCCGCGAAGGCGAGCAAGGGGCTCAGGAAGGGGCGGGCGGTTCCTCTAGGCGCCCGCTGCCGGAAAGGGGCGTCACCGAGGTATCCCGACAGCCGCTGCAACGACTACGACCACGACTTCGACTACGGGACGTGCCGTTGATGGGGAGGGGGGCTCCGCAAGAGTAAGCCCCGAGCCTACGGCGCTGCAGGAGCCCCCGGGCTCGGGCAGCGAGGGTTGGCGCTCCTGGTTGCCGAGCGTGCCGACTTGGTGGTGCGCTGTGAAGATGCCGGATCGCCGACGCCTGGTGTAATTATCCCCCCCCCGCCTGGGCTTGGTGAGCCTTCGCCGGATGGGCCGAGTGGATGCACTGCCTGGGCCTTCGAGGTCAGCGGGCTGGGGATCTGGCTGAGCACACCGGAGCGTGTGGGTACGCTCCGACAGAGTGAGGCTGGAACTGTGCGTCTGTGGACAGTCTGGGCGCGAACTTTTCGGGCTCGTGGTGGGGCACAGCCGTGCTTTGCATGATGATGGCCATGTTCACGTTCCGATTGGGTACTGCCGAATCCTGTATCAACATACATGGTTATGGTGCCGCTGGTCCTGAGCTATGCTGGGATAGCTGGGGGGCTAGGACAGCTTACGACGCGATGCCGTCGACGGCCCGCCAGGCCGGAGGCAACCAACCCTCCCACCACCGCCGCCCCCCTGCAGCGGGTGCGGTTCTGTGAGCCCGGGGTGGGCGGGGACACCGACACCGCCTACTACAACAAGGGGATCCGCGGCCGAGGAACCAACCAAGCCCTGAACCACCTGCTATTGCGCAAGCGTGGGCAGGTGGCCCGCGTGTCCTGCAACTTCGGCGCGGCCGTGGGTCCAGGAGGCACCCTATCGAAGCCATGCTTCAGCGAGGAGGGAGGATGGGGAGGAGGGATTAGGAGGGAGGAGGAGGGAGGGAGGAGGAGGAGGAGGAGGAGGAGGAGGAGGAGAAGGAACAGGAGGCGGAGGAGGAGGAGGAGGAGGAGGAGGAGCAGGAGGGGGAGGAGGAGGAGGCGGAGGGAGGAGGCAGGAGGGAGGAGGGAGGAGGGAGGGAGGAGGAAGGAGGGAGGAGGGAGGAGGAGGAGGGAGGAGGGAGGAGGGAAGGGAGGAGGAGGAGGAGGAGGAGGAGGACGAGACGAGGACGAGGACGAGGAGGAAGAGGAGGACGAGGAGGGGGTAGAGGAGGAGGAGGAGGAGGAGAAGGAGGAGGAGTTGGTCCGACGAACAATCCACAGTGCAAGCATATACCCGTCGGCGACACCCGCGGATTTTCAGCGAAGGAGGAAGGAGGAGGAAAGAGGAAGGAGGTGGAGGAGGAGGAGGAGGAGGAAGAGGTGTTCCGAAGAAGAATCATCAGCATAAAACATTGACGGAGGTCCGCGCGAATTTCTTGGATCGTCGGCGTTGGACCCCCCTCGCAGCGCCTCTGGCGTTGCCTCGCGCCAGGGGTAGGACCCCGGCCCCGATCCAATAAATCTGCATAAATCTGCACGGACCTCCGAGAATAATGTTTATTGAGATTCTGTTCTCGATCTGGCAGGAGGGGGGGGGAGGGGAAGGGGGAGGGGAAGGAGGACGGGGGAGGGGGAGGGGGAGGGGGAGGGGGAGGAGGAGAGGAGGAGGAGGAGGGAGGAGGAGGAGGAGGAGGAGGAGGACGAGGAGGAGAGGGAGGAGGAAGAGAGAAGAGGAGGAGGAGGCGGAGGAGGACGAGGAGAGGAGGAGGAAGAGGAGGAAGAGGAGGAGGCGGAGGAGGAGGAGGAGGAGGAGGAAGAGGAGGCGGAGGAGGAGGAAGAAGAGGAGGTGAAAGAAGAGGAAGAAGAAGATGAGGAGGCGGAGAAGGAGGAGGTAGTTGAGGCGGAGGAGGCGGTCAAGTGCCGCCGTTTCCGCGAGGGACCACGTGCAGAGCAAGTATAAGCCTGATGAGCCGGAGGACCCGACGGGTGGCGCACGACGAGCTTGGGAAGGCTTCCCCCCTTCCCTCCCTCCCTTCCTGTCTCCTCCCTCCTCCATCCATCCGTCTTATATCCCTCCTCCCGCACTCCCTCCTTGCAGTCGGCCCTGATTAGTGGGTCGACGTACCCTTGCGTCCTGTTTCTCGTGACCCATGCCCCCCCCCCCCCCTCCCCCCTCCTCTTCCTCATCATCATCATCATCATCCTCCCTCTCCTCCCTCCTCCCCCTCCTCCCTCCTCCCCCGCATCCCTCCTCCCCCCTCCCCTCCATGGGACACCATTCTCCTCCCTCCCACCCTCCTCCGACCCTCCATCCTCCCTCCCTCCCCCGCGCATCGCGGGCCGCGATGTGCGAAGAAACCGAAGGTTTGTGTTCTTCTGCCAGCGACTTGCGCCGCACTCAAGGTTCGGGTGCGCAGTCGCTTCGAGGAGCCGGCCAACGCTTTCGTGGGAATGCCTCACTCGCCGGCCTCTCTCGTGGCAGGTTCCTTTCGCAGGGGCACGGAGAAGGAAAATTCAAAAATAATCAAAACATGATCACAAATATTCAGAAATAGTCATGAAGTCGGGCCTGTCTACAGGAGGAATATTCCAAAATAGTCGAAAATATTCCCAGGACGATTTTTCGATGATTTGTTTGGTACTTTTGTGCATATGTGCGGTATGTTTTATTTGTCGTCCAAGATCCGCCTGTAGGGAGGCGTGCCCGACCTGAGCCTAGTACCGGTTGGAGTGAGAGCAGTTTGAAGTCTTGGAGAAGAGGGGCACGGGAAGTAGATGAGGACAATGGTTTCGGGTGCGACTTCAGTCTGGCGATGCAGCAGTTCGAGATATTACGAACAAGTATGATCTCTATGTCACGCCATGTGGTTACCGATCAATATCAGAGTACAAACGGTTCAAAGGCAGGAACAGAAAGAGGAAGGACATAGGTGTTGTTGCTCAGTGGCGGCAGTGTTGTCGCAGCGTGTTCAGCTGCTTTGTGCACAAGACAACAGCCCGAATGCCACGGCCCTTGAGTACCTCTTGACGACGGGCCTGCATTGGACGGGTGGCGCAAACCACATCTACGCCACCGCCACAGAGAGCACAGCGACGCCAAAGAGAGCACAATGCAAGCGAGGAGATGCACCAGACAAGAGCCAACGGCAAGGGCATTATGTTTGCAAGAACTGGCATGCATCGCTCGACGAGTGTGGGCGCCAAAAGAAAGGAGGTAAGACGCCAGAACAACGAGGTCCAAAACGGAAGGATGAGGAGGAAGAAGAGGAGGGTTGATGGGCAGAGGGCAAGGTGTAGAGTGGGGAGTGGAAAGCACGCGGAAGGGTTGATTAGATTCAGCGAGCGGGTGAGGAACAATTCAGATGGGCGTATGTGACATGGTTGGTATCCCCGCACCAGGACGAGGAGGACCCCATGCCGGAAGATCTGAAAAACGACGATTGGCCTACGCAGCAGAGGACCGCGAATCCAAAGTTGGTCTTGGGCATGTTTTGCTACGCGAGAGTTGAGCAATGGGCAGATGAGCTTTTGGCCCGCGCAACTGCCAGGTCGTCCAGCTAGAGAACGCATGATTATGTTTGCCTCGAGTCGTCCAGGAGGATTATGAATGTACGTACGCATGCGCGTCTCCTGTCGACCGACATATTCTATGCGCTTCTCGTAACCCCACCAGCCCATCCAGAAACGATGCCCAGGCGAGTTGCCCTGATCAGGGATGTGGAGGAGGTTGCAGTGGAATAAAGGGCTGAGGAAGCCGTCATACCCCAAGAGGGGCTGGATGGAGGAGGAACTGAAGGATGAGGATGAGGGGGAGGGGAAGGAGGGAGGAGAGAGGAGGAGAAGAAATTGGCGGATTTGGAAGAGGAGGACGAAGACGAGGACGAGGACGAGGAGGATGAGGAGTAGGGCGAACAGAAAGGCCAGAGGCCGCTTAGATGCTTCTCGAAGACTTTTCGGATATCTCTAGAGAGTTTCTTGGAGTCCTCGTGGGTGCCTCGGGGAAGCCTCTTGGGGCCTCTCGGGAGCCTCTTGGGGCCGCTTGGGCCCCTCTTGCGGCACTGTGGGGAGCCTTGGGAGCCATCTTGAAGGAGATCGATCAAAGAAGGGGGTGTCCTCAATGAGCCCCGCCCCTCTAGAGCCCTTGTAATCACCTCCTGGTTCCCTCTTAGAGCGCTTTTTGCACCGTCTTGGGACCCTCTTGGGCTCCTCGCGGGGCTTACTTGTGTGTGTGTGTGTTGGAGCCACCGTGAGGCCTCGGAGAGCCGTCGAAAGGGAAGAGGCGAGAAGGCACAACAGAGTGAGTTGCCTTATGTGTGTGAAGGCCCTTGGGGGGGGGGCTGCGTGGTCACTTGGAGCCGTCTTGGGGCTGTTTGGGGGCCTCTTGGAGCATGTTGGACTCCATCATAAGCTATCGCGAGCCATCTCGAGCCATCATGGAGGTCATCTTCGGCTCCCTGAGGCCCTCTTGGAGCCATCTTGGGCTATCTTGGGCGCTCCGGCGACCCGCGCCTCCCCCCGTGCAGGGCTAGGGGAGGGGGCAGGGGTAGGGGTCGAGGCACCCCCTGGGTGGCAAGCCGTCTGGCTCACTCCCACCCGCCCTCCCAACACATAAGTAAGACCCGAGCCTGAGCATGTTCAGCGGTCGTCTTCGGATGGACAGCTACTGGGAACCACAACAGACCCCATGTGCGCGACGCTGGGGCGAGGTGCGCCAATCGTGCCAGGCGCGCAACGCGCGCCAGGCACCCCTGGAGCCCGAGCGTGCCAGTCACGCCTGGTGCGCCAGATGCGCCACGTGCTCCGCGTGCGCCAGGTGTGCCGCATGCTCCAGCCGCGCCAGTTTCGGGGCACGTGCAGAGTGTGTCAGGTGCGCCTGCGCACGTGACAGCACAGATCGGGAAACATGTCGGCCCCCACGATCTTTGCCGAAAAGCAATGCCCATCATTATGTCTGGTGGGCCTGCGCACAGCAGGCCATGCGCCACCACCCCCGCCGTCCCTGTCAAAAGCCAACTGGCAGTGATCGCGGGGTGGCCGCGCATGATCCAGATTTAGTCGCGAAGTTCATTTTGTATAGTTTTTTGACAGGGTTGGTAACCTTGCAAGCAGCAGGCAAAATGCTGACACCCCCGCCGTCCCTTTCAAAAACAATACAACGTGCTCGCGGGCCTCGCGAACATGATTCAAGACTTTGCACCCAAATGTACTTTGTATTGCATTTTGACAGGGGTGGTGGGGTGGGGGGGCGCATCGGGCTGGATGCGCATGCCCGAATGTGGAGGCAGAGTGCGTTTGGTAGTGGTTTGTTGACAGAGATGGTGGGGGGAGGGTCGCATGGTTCTTGGTTGGCTGCATAATAACAAGGAACAGCGATAAACCCCTACCCGAAGGGGAAGAAGGGGGGGTTGGAACCGTAAACTCGCTAAACCACTCACGCCTTGAAGGGCCAGTTGGAGGGATTGGCGTTGGCGCAAGCAAAGTACGTATGAAAGTGTCAAGGAACATTTAGAGTTGTTTTTATTGGAGTCAGCATTCGTTGTGTGTGTGTGGTTATTTGGTTTCCGACACGCGTTTTGCTTTGGTAAGCCCTGAATGGCATCGGTTGGCAGTCGCGACCGCCCTTGATAATGCAAGCGAGTGCGAGAGTACATCTCAGCTTGTACGCGTGCATGGGCAGGTGCATGTGTGTATGTGTGCGGAGGGGCATGCTCAGATTCGTGTGTACGTATGTGTTTATGTGTGTATGTGATTCTAAAGACTTACGCCACATCCGCCGACCCCTTGTTTCTTGTGTTGCCGTGTCTGTGGGGGGCCACGGGCCCCGGGAGTGGTACGCTTTGTGGGGCCTCTTTTGGGCCTCTTGTGGGCTCCTTGGGGCTCTTTGGGTGCTTCATGGGGGTCTCTTGGGTTTTTGTTGGCGGCATTGTGGTATCTTCTGGGAGCCTCAGTGGGAGAAAGGTTGGAATTCTCGGTTCGTGGCTCCTCTGTAGGACCCTTCTTGGGGCTGTCTTCGAGCTCTGTTGGGCCGTCTCTGGCGCCTATGGGGCCGTCTTGGAGTTCTTTTGAGCCGTCCTGAGAGCCTCTTGGGACCCTCTTTGGCCATCTTCGGGCGGCCGTGGGGGCCTCGTGGACAGCTTTGAACGCCGTGAAGGCTGAAAAGTTGAATGCTGGTCTGGAGAGCCAGCGGTGCCATTTCGCGAGTCTCAACAGAAAGGGTGAGCGGGTTGAGGAGAACTGATGAGGAGGAGGAGGAGGAGGAGGACGATGAAAAGGTGGAGGGCGATCAGGGGAAGGACAATCGGGCGGGCGAGGATGACGACAGCGGAGGAGGGATGCGCGGGGCGGCTGGTCCAGAGGATGGATGACGACAGTTTCTGTCGCATGTGTGATCGCATGTGTTCTCTCACATCGTTGGCGTTCCGGGTCCGTCATTCAATTTGGTTCCCAACCGCGCCCGTTCGGGTCTGGTACCCCGGCGGTTAGTAGCCAACCTGGCGGCGACGGGTGTCAAATGTGCCCGCTGGGTCTTGTGCCCCGACACTTGACAGTCACATTCCGTCAGGAGGATCTCCTGTATGTTCTCCAAGTATCGCGTCGGGCTTCCGTTTGGTTTTTCCCCCTACTTAGGCTCTGCCTAGAAGGGTTCTTACTCGGAAGCTTAAAGGGCCGGGCAGTGTAACCCGCCCCGGGCGGTTCCCCCAGTATCCGCCCCGCGGTTCCCCCAGCTACGTCCCTTTAGCCTAGCGTTGCTTATCTCATTTTAGCTTAGCTCAGGTTCATCTTAGCTTAGCTCAGGTTCATCTTAGCTCAGGCTTATCTTAGCTAGCTTACCTTCATCTTAGCTCCGCTGAGCCTTAGCATAGCAGAGCACAGCAGAGCATAGCATAGCATAGCATAGCGCAGCACAGCATATCATAGCATAGCCCAGCATATCATAGCATAGCGCAGCATAGCATAGCATAGCATAGCGCAGCGCAGCACAGCACAGCATAGCACGGCGCAGCATAGCATAGCATAGCAGAGCACAGCATAGCATAGCACAGCAGCCAAGCAAAGGCATAGCAACAGCAGCGACAGCAAAGCAAAGCACAAGCAACTCAAAGCAAAGCAAAGCAAAAACAAAAGCAAAGCAAAGGAAAGGCAAAGGAAAAGCAATGTGCGACACGTGCCGAGCTAGCCTCGATGGCCGGACCGTAGCCCCCGCAAGCAGTGCCTTCCGTAACCATGTCGGCTCAAGTCCGGAGGCCCTGCCACACAGCCGCCCACGCATAGCATAGCTAAGCATAGCATAGCATAGCATAGCGCAGCATAGCATAGCATAGCATAGCATAGCATATCATAGCATAGCATAGCGCAGTTTAGCATAGCATAGCATAGCATAGCACAGCGCAGCATGACATATCATAGCTTAGCATAACATAGCATAGCATAGCATAGCACCGCATAGCACAGCATCGCATAGCACAGCATAGCGCAGCATAGCATGGCATAGCATAGCATGGCATAACATATCATAGCAACTAATGTTGTTTTCCTAGGGGCTCCAACTTCTAGGTAGGGTCGCACTGGGGTAATCTTTAGATTACCGCCGTGCCCGAACACATATCCCAAAGTAGATCATTACAGGTCTCCTGCTCTGCAGGTGGGATGGCGCTTGCGGGTGGCCTTCGTAAGGTTCGTGGCTTCGTGAGGTTCGTGGCCTCGGGAGCGCCAGCGCGTAGTAATTTTGGGGCGTTGCGGCGTCGGGGGCGCCGCCGTGTCATCAGGCGCAAAGACGCGGCGGCCTCGGGCGCGCGAGCCTGGCGCATTTCACAAGGGATTGCGGCTGGGGGGGGCGACAGGCCGGCGCAATCTCAACGCGCCGCGGTCCCGGGGGCGCCGGCGCGTGGCAATTTTTCGAGAGGGGGCGCGGGTTCGCGGGCACCTGCCAGTCGAAGGTTTCGAAGCGGGCCGTGGCCTCGCGAGCGCGAGAACCAGACGTCAGGCGCAGCGGGCCGCGGCCCCGGGAGAGCGCGAGGAGGGGCGCGACCTGGCGAGGGGGCGTAGCTTCGGGGGCTCGCAGTTGCGGTATATAACGCGTGCCAGGGCTCTCCTGCCTCCTCCTCCTCCTCCTCGTCCCCGCCCCCCTCTTCGCCCCTTCTCCTTTTCCTTCTCTTCGTTCGTGTCCTCCTCCAGTTCCCCCCTCCTCCTCGCCCCCCTCCTCCCCGCCGCCCCCCCCCCTTATCCCCCCCGTCCTTCTCCTCCTCCCCCCCTGCCCCGCTCCCCCAGGAAGTTCGGGGCGCGTGATCTGGAGAAGGTCGGGCGTCATCACAACAGTGGCCCCTGAAACGAAAACCTTTGTCCGGGGGAGGCTGAAAGTGCTCCTGGCCCAAGGTGCCCCCAGCATTTCGCTCGACAGTTTCGGCGCCCGCTCCCATTTTTCCCCTCCACGCGCGTAGTTGCTGCGCAATTGGGGCGCTCGG